AGGCTGCAAAACAACTTCAAAAAGCTATTAAAACTTCTCAAAGGGGTAGGAGAAGGAGCTTCATGGCTCCTGCAAAGGCTACTCAAAAAAAGAAGCCTATCGCGAGGCCTCAAGGTGGTGAGGAGCCTCAGGGAGGTGCTGCAAGCTCACCACCTCCAACCTCGCGTCGCGGCCGCGCGATTAGAACTCCGTCTCGATTTCTATAGCTGTATATATATATTAAAGCCTATTGATCTCACCACCAAAATATATCGTGATAATATCTATTTGGTGTGGCTCTATAGCCTCGTTTTTAAGGTAGTTTTGGTGAGGCCGCGCGCGCACTTTGTGGTCGCGCGCACTTTGTGGTGGGGCTAGTTATAACATACATAGTCGAATTAGTACCGTCAATCAGCTCTTAAGAGCAGGTTTTTGAGCAATGCCAGTCTTTGTCATCGACAACGAAGATTCTGTCATCGCACAGACTTGGGGATTCCAGCATATATTGCCTCAAAACACGTAGTATCTGAAAAATTCACTGCGCGAACTTCATCGAGCCTAGAATTCCGTGTTCAGTTTCCTATTACAGTAGTACACCAACTTTAAGCCCGCTCTATCAATTTACTACTCTTTTAATTATTGCATATACGTTGCAAAAAGTCCACTTAGAAAGGCGCGATACTAATACGTCTTTTTTGTACTAAACGTTTCTACAATTACAGAAAAAGAGACCTATTATAAAGGGCGCTACATCCGGCTCCCTCCGGGGCTGATGACCCTGCGATACCTATATAAGCCCTTCTACTCGCTATTAAAGCCCGCTTGCAATTCTTCACACGAATACAATGCATACATGCTCCATGCTATCTTTGCGTTATATATACCGCACTTCCGTAATGTAAATCACTCTACAGCTGTCTTCTTATTGGAACATATGTACTTGGATATAGCATGTTATCCAAAGAAGCGGAGGAAGCGAAGCTGGTAACGCGTCGATAGCTAAGAATTGTAGCATGCAGGCTAGACTGTTGGATAGCTATGAATTAGGCAATGGTAAGGTGACTGAGAACTGGATAGAGGTTGGGCTGTGTAGCGTTGCGTAAAACCTCCTGGTCTGTGCGACCCAACCTCAACCTCTACCCAAAACTCACAACACCTACCGATTGATCAGCCTACGAAAGGTCCATATGCAGGAAGGAAAGCCGGCTATATCGAGGAGCTGCAGTCACACCAGAAACGTTTAATACTCATCATTAACATAATTGTCATAGGTATCATCTATAGTCTAAAGAGAAGCAAACTAAACTCAGTAGAAACTCGCTTTCCAAACATCCATGGCATGCTCAACATGTCTAGGCCTTGGTCTCGAACATGCGAGCCTCGACATCCTTCTCGGCAATGACGGATTCGCAGTCGACAGGGCTGTTCTGGGTACCGACGTGGCTCTCGGTGTAAGCGTCGAGCTCGGCTCCCTTGGCCATGTTGAGGTACACAGCATAACTCAAAGACACCACGAAGAAGCCGAGAGGCACGCACATGGCCTTGCGGGTACCAATGATGTCGGCGACATTGCCGAGAATGACTGGGCCAATAGCACCACCGCAGACGGAGGAGACGAGGAACGAAGCACCGCGCTTAGTGTGTCTGCCAAGACCGCGTACTAGATTATCAAGTTAGTCACGTGAAAAGCGATGTCTGGGAAAGAGAGATTAAACTTACGCGTGAGGGCGAAAATGATGGGGAAGATGCAGGACTCAAAGAAGAGGACAATCATGAGCATGCTCAAACCTCCCCAGTTGGGACCACTTCCACCCGTCTTGACGCCAATAGCGCAAGAGATGAATACAACTACGAGTGCTTGGAAAGAAACGAGGACGTAGCGGGGCTTTCCACCGTAATACATGAGGCCGGCAGCTGCAAAGCGTCCAATGGCGAAGAGAGCTTGTGCGATGGCGTAAAAGTTGGCGCCCTGGTGGTGACCCTCGGTAGTGCTCAAGTCGGGACGAGCTTCAGCGAAGTAGTTGATGAAGTAGGCAGCGACTCCGACCTGTCCCGCAACATAAGCGCCTTCGGCTGATGGGTTGTTAGCAAGAAATTCTGAAGTAGTGAAAGATGTAAAACTTACCGAAAACACCGAAAAATAGCGTGTATTGCTTGCGGAGAGGCTTGTCCTCGTAGTTGGTGGCAGCGGTAGCCTCAGCCTGCTCCTGCTCGGCCATGTCGCTGTCGGTAATCTCGGGCAGGTTGGGAACAAAGTAAAAGATGAAGGCGAGGATGGCTACCCAAGCTGCAATAGCCAGATAGACGTACTGGACAGCCTCGAGCGACTTTCCGTCTTCGCCAACATTCTTGAAGATGACCTGGGCAGCTAGTACGGGTGCGATGACTGAGCCGACGGCCTGCACGGATTGCGACAGTTCCAGACGGAATTCCGACCACTTGGGAGGACCGCAGACGGCAATGTAAGGGTTGGCGCTAACTTCGAGGGTCGACAATCCAGCTCCAGCAATGAACATGGCACCGCAGAAACCAGGGAAGCTTCGCTTGACAGCAGCAGGCCAGAACATCAGAGCACCGACGCAGTAGATGCTCAGGCCCAAGATAAAAGTATATCGGTATCCGAATTTGCGAAGGAAGGGGCCGGAAAATGTCAGTGGGCATATGAAGTACGCTCCAAAGTAGGCGGCTTGGAGACCAGATGATTCTCCCTGGCTGATGTTCAAAGCGACCTGGAAGCGCGAGTTCAAGACGTCGAGTAGTCCATAGGCGAAGCTAGTTGGCAGATTAGTTTCTGAGTTGCCAGTTTAAGAATAACAGAGTTACTTACCCCCAGCAGAAGAAGAGCGTGGTTACAAGTGTAACGGGGACGATGGATTGGCGCGTGGTGAGTGCCGATGCACCGGTCAGAGCGCGGTTGTCGACCGATCCCCGACGAGCAACATCAGTGACGGCAGCAGGACCATCTTGTTGCTCTGCCTGGGAGCTCTTTTTCCCAAAGAAGCCCATGGTTGGAAGTAAGTCTGAAATGAGATCCGGGGTAAAGAGGAAAAAAGCAATCGATTGACCGGCTGGGAATCAAGACCCAAGAATCCCGAATGGATGAAGCAAGGCGCAAGAGCTGGCGATGATGGCCTCAGCCTGGAGGGAATCGCCATTGCAATATATACTCGAACCCGTTCATGTTTGGCTGATGGACGGTGGTGATGTGGTTGAGGTCGCGACGGGGGGGCCAGTGCCATCCAGACTGCACTAGCGCGCTGTACTACAGTGCCCGTGCACCAGATGAGCACCATCGCCAGTTGAGCACCCCCAACAACTTAATATAGTTAACAAGATGAGGCTGTAGAGCCACCACAAATCGTAATAAAATTGCGCAAAGCTAGGATTATACTATATACAGGCCTACGAAAGTTTTGGCTTATTTAGAAATTTTTTTGGAGGGCGTTATCGGTCGTTGCCGTCGACTACGCGGTGGAGCAGCTCGTGCAACCCTTGCGGCTCCACCACAGCTGGAGCAACACCACCACACT